TAGTAATAATAAAAGTAGTAGTAATAGTAGTCGTCGTCGTAGCAGCAGCAGTAGAAGTAGCAGTAGCACCAGCAGTAGAAGTAGCAGCAGCAGCAGTAGCAGCAGCAGCAGTGTTGCAGAAGATGCAGCAGTATCAGCAGCAGCAGCAGGGCAGTAGCAGTTGCAGTAGCAGTTGCAGTAGCAATTGTAGTAGCTGCAGTCGTCGTCCACCACCACTACCCCTTCCACTGCTGCCGTCGTCGTTGTCGCTGTCGCCGCAGTAGTCTTTTCGCTCCCCACCCGGAAATCGAAGACTCAGCCCAGGATTCGAATACCTTGTTACTGAACTGGCGGCGCGACTTGGGATCCGCCTGGGGCCTTGGGGCCTGCTGGGAGGTAGCCTCAGCCTGCCCACGCAGCTTCCAGCAAGGTGTGGTTCCTTTATTTTTGGAACTATGGGGACATAAAATAGTTGGTCAGGTTAGCAAAGATCTCCGGGCCGAATGCAGTTTTAAGACTATTGTCCAGACCTACACTGCGCAGAGCTTGCCCGCGCAAGGCGCTATACATTTATAGACTCTTTTAGAGACTTTGACTGGAAGAGGAACCCTGTCATTGACACGTTGTCCTTCACACGTTATCCCTGACGCCCTTGTCCTTGACATCTTCTCAGAACACCTTGTCCTGGTAAATTATCGTTGACACTTTGTCCTTGATACCTTGTCGCTGCCACCTTGTCCGGAGCTTGGCACCTCGTGACACATCGTCCGTGACACCTTAACACCTTGTCCTTGACACCTTGTCGTTGTGTCACCATGTCCCTGTCGCTTTGTCTTTGCTACCTGCCCACAAGAATACGTTGCTTAAAACCTTATCCTTGAAACCGACCTCGCCCCCTTGCGGCCTTGCGGTTGACACCTCGTTCGTTATCACCCTGTCCAGTTTATGGATGTTTTAGGCTGTTTTCTTTCTGGAGCTTTCACGGGGTACGCCATGGCATTATTTGTACCATGTAGGCCCAGGATGACACGATCCTTGAACAGCTCCACATGCAAGTGCTCCCAAGACAAGCTCGGATGACCCATTGATACGCTGGAAGCGTGGGAGGCATGATATGTTACATCTTCACATCCTGCCGAAGGCATTCCCTTTTTTCTTTAGACTCTTCGCAAGGACTGGAGAAGTCTCTTCGCCCAAGACTCTGCAACCCTGTGCCCGAGTAGTGTGAAATCACCTTGCTCCGATTCCGCGTGGGCTGTAATCGGGTTTGCGTAACCATGCGGTCAAGTCGTGTAGGCTGGATGCATGCCAGTTTGTAGCCGGTAAGAGAATTAAGCTGTGGGTCTTACCGGACCGGGTCCAATACGGATTACTCCAGGTCTGAGGGTCTTGCGCGCACTAAGTATTGAAGTTTCGCAGTTCTACCTTATATTGGACCCGGTTCGGGGATGACAAAGACTGCATCGCTTTTGGACGTTAGGATTGTAGCTTGCGGTGTTTTTATTCGGAAGGTCCTGATCATATAGCTAAGACCGATGGGCTTCCAGAGCGGATGTTGCCCGAGAGCTTTGGCCCTTGCGTCGAGCAGACTCGACGACTGAATACAATTTACCAGGGACAGCAAGTTCTGCTTGCAGTTGGTTCCGCAGCTTTGTACCAATGTCAGTGGTCAACCTGCGCATGATAGTGATCTTTGTTTGTCCTGTGCTCGTGTTTCATTGAACGGTGGGTACCTGGTACACTCAAGCCGTGCACTCGCCCCTCTTCCAGACATGGCTGTCGGAGGTTCCATCAGCCGAGGTCCTGATCTGTTGGGAGCTTCTTTGTTCGGACTTTTATGGGCATTGGCACTTCTGCTGCTACTCGTTACTCTGCTTTCCTACGCCAGTAGTTCTTCCCCTAATCTTTAGCACGAACACAACTAGCGCCGGTACTACTGCTGGTACTGCCGGTAGTACCATTTCATTGTGCAGGGAATTTAGGACAAATATTTTGTGGAACCGTCAGGGAAATCTTGGTCATCTTGCCATCATAGTCATCTTGCCCCACTTGCCCACTGAGTAGTTTACCTCTTCAGACCAAGAGCAAGTGGGGCAGGTGGGGCGAGATTGCAAGATTGCTTGGCAATCTTGCTCAAATAAGTGCTCTAGATTCCCGGAATACTTCACCATTTGTACTCGTTTCTCTTTCTTGCTTTTGCTTCATTCTTCCTGCATGCAGGCCTCCTACTGCTGCTTCTCCTTTCGTTGCTGCTCCTGCTGCTCTACTACTACAGCGACTACTGCTATTTCTGCTAGTGCTACAACGACGACGGCTACTCGACTACTACTACTACTACTACTACTGCTGCTGCTGCTGCTGCTACTACTACTACTACTACTACGACTGCTATTCGCACTACTAGGCATGCCAGGTGGGTGACAAAAGCACAAGAATAGCAGCAACAACAAGAACTGCTACTACTGTTACTGCTACGTCTAGTTCTACTTCCACTTTCACTTCTACTTCTGTTTTTGCCATTACAAATAGCACCATTCGTACTGCTGCTGCTACTACTACTACTACTACTACTACTACTACTACTACTCCTATTATGACCGTTGCTACTACTGCTCCTGCTGCATCTGGGGCGACGACGACTACTATAGATTCTACCCCTGCCCCTGCTGCTGCTGCTGCTGCTGCTGCTGCTGCTGCTGCTGCTGCTGCTGCTGCTGCTTTGTCTATTGCTGATTTCTGCGCTGCTCCCATGCCCATCAGTGTAGGTCTGATTGCTGTTATTTTCAGTAACAGACTGCTTGTAATTTCGCGGCGTGTTTTTGCTTTCACTGCAGTTGCTTTTCCTTTATTGTAGCAAGCATGGGCGGCATTGCCAGAGTCGTGGAACCTCTCTGTGGTCGTGTCGCACCGATACCGATATGCGTCCAGCTACCCAGCTGGGTTTCTTTTGGCCAGGCAGCAATGTCACCCCCAAGCACGACATGTAAGTCTTAGCAAGACTGAGTGGCGATGGTACAGTGATGAAGACACGATGCGATGGTAGTGATGGTGATGGGCTTCACAAATGCAGAAAATCACGAACGCAGTGGCAAGGCACGGAGTTTGATGATGATGATGATGCATCAGCTTGTTGGCAGTGACGATGATACAGGGTCGGGAGGTTCTGACTGTCTGCTGTATAACGATCATGACACTGAAGATTGGCTTTTTTGGGATCACTGACTTTGGTGAGGTCGTGGAGGATGAACATGATGATTTCTGGTCATGGCGGTTAACACCAAAGCAGCAGTCAGGATAATGACCAGGACAATACTCGTTGCAGTGGCCTTGACAGTTACGGCCTTGATAGTGGTAAGACCATGGAAGCCCGTTCGAGTGTTATGCCGGAGCGAAGCATCCAAGCAGCCCATGCCGAAGGGCAGGAGATGCTCTATGTGTCCGACCGGCCGGCATCGCGTGAGTGGAAAGCGCCGTTGAAAGAAGAGCCCATCTAGACGGACCACGGTTTCTTGCAGCGTGTTCGAGCGCCGACTGGTACAAGTGCCGAGACTTGCCCCACTGCGTCCTTGTTGGTACAGTTAGCAGCACAGTACCAATCGTGGATGCCAAAAACGATGGCTCCGCCCCCATCACACGCCCACCTTGCAAGCTGGTATTTGCTTTTACAAGTCATACTCTGTTCGGGCCAGCAGAGGTGAAGGCAGCAGGTACAAGACACAAATTTCAAAAGCCCGTAATAACCCAAGCATCTAAGTGGCTCCCCAGCACTCCGAGCAGCATCGTCTCTTGGAGCGGAGCAAGTTGCCAAGATGAGGTGATGGTCAACTCGTCACAGTTCGCGTGCTTCTCGGCTGCACATCCCCAGTATAAGGCCATGGGGGCTCTTCATGAGGCAGCAAGCTGACGGGCAAAGAAGTGACGAAGGACGTTTCGGCTTTTGCAGTCACCCCTATGAACTGAAATTCTAAAAAGAGAGCCCATGGTCAGCATCTTTGTCAGGCACATGCCGAAAAGTCGTAGTCGAGACCCGATGTGCTTCGACCGGAGAGTTTTCTGGGCCCGTGGTAGACCGCATCATCTGTGGCTCAAGGGATGTCACTACGAGATCAGAACGGCGAGGCTCGTAAAGCGCACAGCTTCCTGGACTCCTCAAGCCAAGAGCCGTTGAGCCCGTTGTTGCATCCCTGCAGTCCTCTTGTGCCAGAAAGTTCTGCAATTCTTCTGCTAGATTTCAGGAAGCTAATCGGATTGCACAAGTAACTAGGCAATATGAAA